ACACGTTCATACATACACGTTCATACGTACACGTTCATACGTACACGTTCATACGTACACGTTAATACGTACACGTTAATACATACACGTTTATACGTACACGTTTATACGTACACGTTAATACGTACACGTTCGTACATACACGTTAATACGTCCACGTTTATACGTACACGTTCGTACATACATGTTCGTACATACACGTTCGTACATACACGTTTATACGTACACGTTTATACATACACGTTTGAAACGTATGTATACTGTCGTGTAATGTGGATACGACGATTTTCTATCTGCGTTTCTTTCTGCGGGGTACAGAGCAGCGACCACCGATCACGCGAAGCACGCATTGTCCATGGATTTCACACTGATCACCGCTCGTTTCATCACAATTTCTCGCAGCACCTCGAAGTGACATCCCGCGCGCATAGGATTTAATTTGTTCACGTTAACAGTCAAATTGAGGATTCGCGATAGCGCCCACCCACTGTCGCGTTCCTGGAACTCTTCGAGCGATGTCAAGATAGGCTCGACGACGTGTCGTTCGTACCACTCACGCATATCGGTGCATCTATATATCTCGCTGTTCTTCGTGTTTATACTTTTATTGGCACGTTTGTCTTTTGTGACGAAGTCGCCGTTGAACGCTGTGTTCACTTTCACACTACCGTGTCTTTCCACAGCGTCTCGCACTCGCTCTAGCACTACATCGCCAGCGTCTTTCAAAAACCGCTGCGGCTCGATGTGATTAGAGTTTATCACCGCGCCTGTCACTATACGACTCTCGAATGTTGTTTCGATCTCGCGTCATCGAAGTCCGTAACCGGCGCCCACATGCACGAATCTTCCACGCACCGAATCCTTCAAACTCTCGAGCCTCGCGATTCTCGCCACCACGGATTGTCTGTGTCCAACGGCGAGGCGCGAACGCTTGATACGACTCTGCTCTTCTATAAATTCTATTAGTTCGTCGCATCGTTGTTCCCATGCGACGTACTCTTTTCTAGTATTCAGCTGGATCGCTTCCTCTATCAAATCGCTCTCCATGTTATCGGTTGCGTTGACTAA